TGGGTTTGGGTTTTTTTACCTTGGTGGAGAGCTGGGATTTCAGCTTCTCGGTCTTGACAGATCTTCTGAGCTGATGAAAACAGTGCAGCTATACTGCAAAATAATGGCCACAGCCTCTCTGCCTCCCACCTTTATGCTCCATTATGGAAATGCAAGGACATGCTGTGCCCACATGGCCCCAGGCCTGTGCCTTGCCCAGGGACATCTCTCGCATGGACTCCTTCCCAGGCTGCAGCAGGTTACTCTGCAAAGTGTGTGTTATCAACACTGCATGCAGCATGAGATACAGTTTGTTTCTCCATTTTAAATGGGTGTTCCTGTATAATTAATTAACAACTCACAGCTGAAAGGCTTTGAGCGGGGGAGGGCTATGTTTCACCCCCCTGAGCACCACTGCATCACTGTCCCCTCCAGAGCTGAGAGCGAATGTTCCTATCTGTGGTCGCTCAGGCTGAGAACACAGCAAACCCACCAGGAGGGGGGGAAAAGTCACCCAAAGGAGCCTCCTGAGCTGTGTGCCACCCAGACCCTGCCCTGCGGTGATGGGGGGCTGCTCACCTGCCAGGCCTCCAGCTGCTGCGAGAGGTTCACCTTCTGCTGGATGGCATCCAGCAGCTGGCTGTTGAGGGACATCATGTCGATCTTGCACTTGGCCAGCTCCACCTCCACCGCGTTCTTCCTGGAGGGAGAGCAAGAAACTGGGACATGTGACTTTTTCTTTTTTTTTTTTAAAGGAAGTCTTAAACATATCCTTGAGGAGAAGTCAACAATTTGTTTCAGTGGCAAGTCCCCAATTCCTAAGCTGTTCATCTCTGTTGTATTCTGGACAATCTATTCATCTGGAGAGTTTTATAGAATTGTAGAGATCATTACTATAAATGCAGTAGATTTCTGGTAAGCACACTGTGAAGAATGGAAAAAGGTATTCAGATACACTGTTGTGTAAGCTAATACAGTGTGCCTGGATAACGTGCAGGATCTGCCATTAAAAATGAAGATCTAAAATGAGGTAGAATCTACATATAAATATTTTTTCCTTTTCTTCTATTTACTAATGTGTAGGAAAGGAAATGGTATGTGCTAAAAACTAAATGATCTGTTTCTGATTACTTGATCAATAAGTTGCAATATAAAACAAACCACACCCCCTAAAGAGTACAAGTCTTCTTTCAGTTTCTGAAGATGGGACTTGGAATGAAGGAAGGAAGAAATGAAGGAAAAAAGTTTATCACAGCACATGCTTTTTAAGAATGACAAACCGTTAAAATTGTTTGAATTAAATACTATGCTTTAAGGAAAGCTCCCAATTTCAATGGGGTTGTGCTGGCCCTTGGGAACACCACTGCTGTGTTTCTTTCCAGGCGTGTGTTGGCCACTGGGCATGTGATGCCATGGCCAAGGTTGCCCAAAGGGCTCTGAGTGCTCAGTGGCTGAGATGTTCCAGCTGCTACTGGCTAGTGGAAAGGAGTTGTCTAAAAAGGAGCAATTTCCTAAGCTTCCCAAGCCAGGAAATGCTGCTCACTGTGCTGGGAGCACACAGGCGAGCACAAACCTGAAGTTTTTCAATTAACTGCTGTGTGATGGGAAACCATAACATGACTTGCTGGGAACCATCTTTCCTTGCAAACATTTTCTGGGAGAAATAATTGCATCTTATTAACTGTAGCTAATTCATCGCCTCCTAATAGCTCCCTTGTGCTCCCCTGTAGAAGAGCAATTTGGGAATTTGTGTTTATATTCCAGGTAGTGGTTGCTTAACACCTCCTATTATAGGATCCTATTTTCCTGTTGCTTCCCATGTTGCCAAACTTCACCTTCAAGCTAAAAATTTTTCAGGCCAGATGTCTGCCTCAGGCAGTGATTTTCTTTCTGTTCAGAGTTAGGGCTTTTTTTGGGGAGGGCTTCAAGAAAAATGTCTTATCCCTTGAGGTGCGAGGTGGGAAGCATATCACAAGCCTCCCAGGCGGCTCGCTGCCCGGGAGCAGCCTGCTCAGTTGTGGAGGGACGCTTTCATTCCTAGCAAAAAGATGCTCTTGTCTGCTTTCACTTGCAGCTACTTTTTGCTCATTAATCACCCGCCACTCACCCGTGCACACTTGTCACATCCCCCTTTCTCTGGGCTCCTGCCGACGCAGGACAATCAGCCGTAAATATTAGTGCTTTGTCCCAGCAGGGTCATTAACTGCTGTGGAGAAGCTGTACCCTTCCACTCCTGGCTGTGGGTCCAAGCACCTTAAATAGCCTTTTGTTGTGAAGCTTCCCATTGCTGCTTGGATATTACCGGGGGATTTATCGTGGCAGCAACGCGTTGCCATAGCCACAGCAGAACCAGCAACCCACACGCACTGGAAATGTCAGAACCACCTCTTTGCACCCGGCAGTGCAGCTGGGATGCTCCTGATTTTTGCCAACAGATGGGGGTGTTACAGAGGACAGCGATGGGAATTTCACAGCCGGCTACCCAGGCAAGAGCAGCACAGATGATAGGGTCACTGAAAAAAAAGATGAAGGGATTGTCCATGCTGATTTATCTCCCCACATCCTCAGAGGTGCAATGCTCTCGTGCTCCTCCATTTGCTGAATATTAAGCATTTCCGTAAGGAGATGAACTGGTGGTGCCCTGGCCCATCTGCTTATTGAAGAGATTATCAGATGTATCCTTTCTACCTAGAGCACAGGTGGATGAATGTTTCTGCCCCTCTCCTCGGGGCAAAGAGTGCTTGTGGCAGTGTGGAAAGCCCAAGCACGGAGCTGGGGAAGGGTGGTGTGGGGTACAGGGTAGCAAAGCTGCTAGGTCTGCAAGGATGATGGGGAAAATAAGAGTCAAAACAGTGGGAGAATCCTGAAAGGAGTAATAGAGAATGACAGGACTGGAGATGCAAAAAAGACCTTGGAACAGGAAAGGAGAGTGAGTGACCAGAGAAATGGTTTAGGGAAGAAGCCCAAGCAGGGCTGTAATGGCAATGGGCAGGAAAGCAGGGTTGTGTGTCTGGAAAAGCAAAGGAAGAAAAATGTGACAAATAAGGCAGACCTAGTGTTTCCGTTCAGTTCTCTGAAGTCCTCTCCTCAGTGCTGTGGCTCAGACAAGCACTAGGGACGGCAAAAACATTGTTCACAGCATCCTCCTAAATGCCCCCAAACCTGTCATGAGGCAGCTCTGGAAATTGGCATCTCCTGCCCTGCTCCCAAGCTTCTGGCAGCATTTCTCAACGCCAGCAAAGCCGAGGCTCACTCCATCACTTTGTAACAGCTATGGAGCATGGAGGGTGGGAAAAACCCACCCTGGAGGCATCTCCTGCTAGGGTGTTCCATAACTGCTAACCCAGCCTGGCTTTGGCTGTTCATGCCACTTACTTGGCAATGGCCTCATCTCGGTCCCTGATGGCCTGCAGGAGCCGTTCATTTGTTTCCTTATCTTCAGCAGCACCTCGCAGCCGGTCCCGTTCCTCCTTCAGCGTCGTCATTTCTACGCTCAGCAGTGTGACCTGTGGGCAGAGGGAGGGCATGAAACCCAGGGTTGCTTGGACAAATTCACCATGATTGGGGGGAAAAAACTCCCCACATGGGCCAACCTGGAGGCTGAGCTCCCCTGCTTGTAGAAGAAGCTGTGTCTGCTGGGAGGGGGCTGTTAGTGCTAGTGCAACCCCTCATGAAATGTGCCAGTGCCAGTCTGAGCAAGATGGGCCACCAGGATGGCCTCAGTAACATGCAGTAGCAGCACTGAAAGCTGTGAGCTGTGCAGGGCAGGACCTGCCTGCCACTTTGCTGTCCCAATGGGTTTATACCCACTATGGCATCAGCACCGAAATATTGCCTCTCTCCGAGCGGTTTGTCTTGTGCATGCTGAGTCTGCCTGTTGTATTCTGAGCTTTCCAGGGTTAAATTACTACAAACACATTTAGCAGCAAATAAGATTGGGGGGGGGGGCTATGTCTCTTGAAGTAGTATGAAGCTGCAGACAAAGGATGTGAAAATTCCTTTTCACGCCATGGAAGGTGTTACTGGCACGTCTTACAATTTTAATTAGACTTTAAAATATGTGCAGAGTCTTAAATAGTCTGAGAAATGATCTATCGTTCTGGTCCTGTGCAGAGTGAGTTAATAGGGTGTGAAATCATGTAGGGATTGCATTAGCACAGCTTTGCAATGTTTCATACATGTTTAACTTCTTTGTAGGGCACACACATGCTCTGTTACGCTACTCCACCACCTGGAAACCTTTCTAGCATTTGACCCCCCTCCTTTCTCTAAATGCAGCTCAGTACTGCCTGAGTCCTCAAAGAAATCTTTAAATAGAGGGCAGACAGTCAAAAAGGGTTCATCACATCAACAGCGTGGGAGGATCTGCTGTTAGTGCAGCATGGCTGGGTTGCGGGGAGGAGGGTGCGAACACGCCCGGTCTGTGTGCAGAGGCTCCCCACTGCGTGCTGGGGCTGCCAGGGAAGTGGGGAGCTCTACTCGAGCTGTGCCCTGCCGCAGCACAGCATGGGATACACCTCAGCGCCATGATGTGATGGAGAGCAGAGGTGGGAGCTACGTGAAAGGTGTTGAGCACTTCTGCTGAAATCCCAGAGCACAGTGGATTGAGAGGCCCCAGAAAACGGTGTTTGGGGATAGGTTTGGGGTTTTAACTGTTTTTGTCTGTTTTTCAGGTAAGAATGGGATGCCACAGAGGGAGGAAATGGACCAGGCAGAAGGTGTGAAACCACTTTCCAGTATAGACAAAGGCAATTCCTGGCTCCACCAGCTCACCGTGCTCTCAGGCAGGAGCAATGAATGTGTGTGGTGCTGCAAGGTCCCAAAAAGCTGTTTAGGAGAAGTTCCCCTTTCATTGTATCAGTACCAGTGACAGCACAGAGCGATGCAGAGGCCACACAGCACGGCTGCTGCGGATGGACCAGAGTTTCTGTGCATTTTCTGTTCATTGATTTTCTTTAGTACTGAACTGAAGACAACATTGTCTCTTCTACGGGAGGTGAGAATAATTATTAACCTTGAACAAGTGCGAGGCTGGGTTATGGGCAAAAGCTGCAGGAGACATGTACTTGCTGTGTGAGGCTGGAGCGCTTCAAGAGCAGTCTGATGCATTTGTAGTTATGCCCCATCTTTCTCCATATAACACAGAGGTGTGAGAAGAAAGTAGAACTGCAGTCTTCCCTTTGCTTCCTAAATATTCAGACCTTTGGTAGTCGGAGACCCCTAAAAGCAGAGATGGAGGTGCAGTCTTGCGGTCCAGGGTGGGTCCTCTGGTCCTTCTTGGCTGGGGAATTTGTGGAGACTGGCCAGAGCAAAGAACAACCAAGTGCTGCTCCCTCCTGGTGTCCTGTCAAGGCCTCATGCATAAGGAGGTGCTGCATCCAGACAAGCAGGCTGGTGTACGGATGGTCGCTCAAAATCTGTGACTAAGCCTCTGATGGTCTCTATCAGCATAGCCAAGTTGCAGTGATCAAATCCTTGTCTCCTCCACCTCAGGTGTGTTTAAGGGTGAGGGGAACCTCTGGGTGATGCACAGGACTATGGCAGCATGGCCAGAGGAACACCTGGGCTCATGTCTTGCTGGGGGCAGAAGTTTGGACCCTCAAAGGTATCTCGTGGTGGCCTCATTGCTGAGAGGAACAGTCCTCGGGGAAGGATGGTGCCAGGGCTGCTCCCTTGCTGCAGTCTGTCTTGAATCAGTTGCTTTTTCAGCAAGACTATTTCCCATCCTTGTATACATGCAGCCGTCACTGCCAGGGGTATTTAATGATGCTCTCATTCTTTGTTCTTCATCCACATGGTGGGAGCTCCCATAGCCCTACAAAAGGCTGTCAATCCCCAGGTTGTGCTGACTTTCTGAACAAGGATGTGTTTTCTTTTCTCTTCTCCGAAGGAATACAGTGAAAGGGTGACACAGCACTGCTGGCAACACCAGCCAAGGGCGTTAATCCCAGTCCCTGCTCCAATGCTGTTGGTGCTGCACAAGCAGCTGTGCTAAAGGCTGCTTCTTCTGCAGCCTCCAGATTCCCTCCCACGTTTGGAGGCTTGTCCCATAGAGATAGGGATTGCAGAGCATCTCCTTGAGTGCCTGACTCCTTTTGCTGCTTTTGGCATAGGACCTCAGATACAGATGATGCTACATTCAGTGCAGATGCAGTGTGATTCTGTGCTTTGGGTGTGGTGTTGGTTTCTGGGTTGGATCATTCATTCTGCTGAGATTGTCTTAGCCTTAGCTGGTCCCTGTTGGCCCTGGGGTACTGCCTGGTGCCAGGCTGGCCATGATTAAGACTCTCTGGGTGTGCATTGATGAGGGTTTTGTGATGTTGCTGTGGAAGGGGGCGAACCTTGCACCATGCACAGCAGAGCAGCACTGTTTTGTTGATCCAGCAGTTGCATATAAGCCCTTTACAAGGGCTTAGTGCAAGCAAGATGGGTCAGACTGGATACCTATGGGTTTCCAGTACAAGCAGCCTTGTACTTTGGGGTCTTCTGCTGAGAAGAATTTAAGCGAGACAGATTGGTTGAAAAGCAGATTGGGGAAAGGTTTAAAGGAAGTTTGGCTGCTTGAGACGATGTCTGGGATGGGCCGCAGACAACTTGTCAAAAACTCTGATCCTAACTGCATGAAGCCTCTGCAGTGGGTTTAACAGAGTCTCCCTCATCGAACGATAACTGGTTTTGGTCCAAATCCTCCTGGCCATTATTTATCATGTTGATGTCTTCTACGGAAGGCATGTCTTGGTGGATGAACACTGGTGTTACAAGACCACATGTAAAGTGTGGGAATTGCTAACCTGGCTGTGCAGTCGCTGCAGCTCCTCCAAACTCTGCCTCAGTTTCCCCCGTTCTCCCTCCATTAATTCCCTCAGGGCTCGTGAATCCTCACTTGTTCGCCTGATCTGTTCCTCTAAGGTGTCGTCGTCACTTCGTCGAGAGCTCTGAGAGCGGGAGAGAAATCTCTTGCTCAGATTTCACTTTAAAAAAGGCAATTGCATTACTTTGATACTGGTTTGGGATGGGGGGTACTAAACAAGAAGAAAGTGTGAATGTGACTTTGTTAGAGTTTCAGTTTTGTTCCCATATACCTCCACAGTGGAAACATGCCCAGCCAAGGGTAATGCTTCTACACATGATAAAAAGAGCATGCAGACATATTCTCACCTTAGCATAAAACAAATTTACAGAGACCCACTGACCACCTGGTAATGTATGGCTATAGTCTCCATGTTTGTAGACCTTTTGCAGGACTCTGTTTTTTATTTAACAAATACAATTTCATCTCTATGCTCAGCCTTCTTACCAGCTGCTACAGGTACTGAAACGAGGAGGGTGAGTATTCCCATGTGGGTCTGCACTATCTTCCTCACCATGGCATCTCAAATAAGTCATACTGGCAATGCAACCAGCTTGTGGGTGATGGAAATAGGCCTGATTTGAGCCATTGCAAGAAGTGAGATGTTTTCTCATAATTCTGCACTCTGCTGGATGCTGAGTGGTCCTCCATGCCACCCCCTTCTCCCCAGCAGACCCTGGGCCATACCCCACAGACAGCGAAACCCTTCACCTGTCAATTAATTTGAGTCTGGCAGCTCTTGCCAAGACATTTGTACCCACTGTCAACTTGTAGGGGCAGAATGTTATGAAGTTTTTGTCATACTATTGTTAACAAGCAAGGTTGGGAAAGTCCTAGGAGAAATAACTGAACTGTGGTGTATAAGACAGTCTGCAATATTTCTCTGTTGAAACTCTAACTTACTGTAAATCTCCAAGAAAGCCTACTTTAATTTTCTGGAATGATTCCCAAACCAATGACAGTTGCACGAGCTTGAAATTTATGTTTGCAGTCTGACCGCTGCAAGTCAAAACCCCATGTGCTGGTTTGGCTCTTGGCTGAGTGTTTGAGACATGTGGAGCAGGCTGTGCACTGTGACAGCCCATCTCTGTGGGCCACAGAGGTTTTCTCGGAGACTGGGGACTTCTGAATCCAGCAGGAACCTGCAGCAAGCTGTCACCTGGGCAAGGGGACATGCACAAGCCAAGGTCTCCCTGTGCCACCAACTTACCGTGGAGTCAGCCCCATCCAGCCCATTTTGTATCAGTCTTTTCAGCTCACTGAGAGCTGCCCGTAGGCTGCCGGCTGGGACGTCTTTGGCTGATGAGGTTTCTGAAGACTCATCCATGGAGGAGTCTGTAGAGACTGCTGAGTCTGCGCTGTCATTTCCTCTGAGATGGGAGCAGAGATACCGCACTTGGCAATATGCTTCCCAGAGCTGCAACCTCAGCTGGAACAAGAGAGCCTGACATTAGCCTGGGACATCAAGGCCACGGAGATCCTCCTTCCATGGTGAAGTGAGGCATGTAATTGCCCAACCTCACAAATATTTGGCTAGCTTGCTATGTTGGTTTTGAAACGGAGGCAGAGATTTACTTTCATATGGTTAAAAGGGTGTTGATACCTGGGACCACAACCCCAATTGTCTGTCCCTTTTTCATCTCCAAATCCACATCAAATGCATTAAACTCCCTCTCCTTCTGGAGCTGGTCACAGAGGTCCATGGGCTTTCCCAGGGGGTGGAGGGCAAATACCTGTTCTCGTTCTTGTTCCAGTTCCTCTGCCTCCATGCTCTGCTCTATCTCAGACAGCAGGGACGTGCTGGTTGTGTTGAAATTTTGGAGACTTCTCTCCTCACTGAGCTCTTCTACCTTCCCCTGCAGCTGCCGGTAGGACAGCCGCACCTCTTGGAGCTCCAGCTGGCTTTGGTGCAGCTTGCAAAGAAAATCAAGGAGTTTGTCAAGGAAGCAGGAAAAAAAAATTATTAGTGAAGGTGATATGGACTGGATGAGTATCTTGGTTTGTGAAGGAGCTGAGGGAGGAATGGGTTTCACGAAAGAGGATTTCCAGCCAGGAGGAAAGTACTCTTGACTGGTATTGCTGTTTATTGGAGCTTAATAATCTCCAAATGTCATTAGACACTGTTTAGACTCCAGAATATCCTGAAAGTTAAAAATAGCAGGTTAATCAGCACTAAAATGAGGAACATTGTGAAGAAGTTGGGACTCAGGTAAAAAAATTTGCTGAAAACAACACAGCAGGAAGTGAATCCAAAAAGAAAAGTAATATAGACAGGTTTTTAAAAAAGCTATACACATATATAAATACAAACATCTATTTAAAAAAAGGGAAAAAAAGATTCAGGGCTGTTTTGGAGAGTCGTCAACCCACAGAAGAGAAATGTAAAAATCTTGCTCTCAACTAAGATGCCTGAAGCCACAGAGGTGCCAGCTTATTCTCTGGGGAGTGATGTTTGGTGACACACAACTGCAAACACCCTGGGGCTTGTTGGGAAACCATCTGAGCAGTGAGAGCTATGAGGCCAGTTACTGCCGTCTGCGACAGCAGGGTCTAAAGAAGCCCCTTCTGAAGCCAATGCTACTATTAAAAAATCAAGTAAACTGAACTGCAACCAAAGTTCTCTGCTTCTTTTTACATTTACCTCATTTCCTCAGCACCCTGTCCCGCTCCCTTGCTCAGATCTCCCTCCCAAGCTGCTCTTTGCTGTCAAGATCACGGCTCCTGTTATCTGTCCTGATGAGGAACACCCAGGACCTTGCTTGCTGCCATGTTTACATGAGCCATTTTATTCTTCCAGTTGTTTTGTCTCCCAGTTCCTGATTATCTTCCTGGTCAATTTTACGCCAAACCACATCTTTTACTCCATTTCCTCCCTCTTCCCTGTCCCATTGCTGCCTCCTCACCTGCAAGTCCTTGTCATGGCTTTGTTTCTCCAGGATGAGGACTCGGTCCTGCAGCTCCTCCACAGTTCCCTGGAGCAGGTCGTTCTCCTCCATCATGGCACTAAGGCGATGCTCCAGCTCCCGCTTTCTGTCCGTCAGCATTTTGATCTGCAGAGGAAAGAGAGGCGGTGTCAGACCCCACATTTTCCAGGGAGCAGAGGGGAGGGAAATCACATTCCCAAGAGAGAAATGAAACAGCAAAAAGCAAAAGTATGCACTGTATTCAAAAGTATGCACAAAGTATTCTGTACCTGTATGAGAGAAACTGTATCTCTGTGTGGTTTAAAGCTTAGGAAGGCTCTGAAAGGAAACTCCTACTTCCCCAGGCTGCAGCGGCAGCTCCAAAGGGGCTGGGTGTGCATTGGCAGGAGCCCAGGGAGCAGGCAGAAATGTCCAAACAGCCCACGCCTTGTACCTTAAAATTTGCAAGACTGGGCGAAATTAGTTACTTTTCCTGGCTGGACCCTGAGTAGGCATTTTCTGCTGTATGGGTGCTGAAGACCACAGGGTGAGCCTGCGGGATCCTGCTCCCCGCAGGGCTGTGCCACAGCACTGCCCATGTGCTTTTCTTCATTGCTGCACGTTCGCCAGGTTCTCACCAGGGGGTTTTCTGTCTTTTTACTTGTGGAGACTCCTTTCTATGCCATGCTTATTTTTAGACTCCCAGTGATCAGTCGTCTTTAAAATTGGTTCACTTCTTTTAATTGTCAAGGGCAGTGATTTCAGGTGGAGGGACAATGTGCCAAGGAAAACCTCTGTGACTCAGTTAGCTGGGAACAGTGCACAGGATGAATCAGCACTAGCCAAGGTCACTTCTTCTTTAACCAAGAAAAAAGAGCCTTTCCCCAGATTATTACACACGTGGCTTTGTCTCTCCAGGATAAGGACTCGGTCCTGCAGCTCACGTATGCCATTTACCAGTCCAGTATAACCCTAAATATTCCCTATGGCCTCCTTTCAATTCATGGACCACAGACAAATTCAGCAACTTCCCACTGCTTTCTTGGCCTCTTTGGGAACTTGTCTCTTTGCTGCTTTCCAGGTTGCTGGAAAGATTTGGCTGCACGAAGGAATATTAGCAAAATGTGTGGACTTGCTATTTCTGCAGGGTAAAGGCTGCTGTAGGTACTAGAAAGCTGCTCTTCAGGTGACTAATCGTTTCTGAGGTGTCACTTCCCACCACCACCATGATTTGCGTGGGCTGGAGAAAAGGGGTGCAAGAAAAATAAGAGGTGTAATCCAGAGATTGTATCGACTTCATATTTGGTATACAAACCAGTAACAGACACCCTGTGAATGACCGTATAACACAAAAAGCATCACTCTGCCATGGGCCCTGGGACATGGGAAGGGCACAGGGGGAAAGGGATTTGGAAAGCAAGAGACAGGAAGGAGGTGAGGAGGCAAGGTGAGGCATGCACAGTGACAGGCATGCACGGTAACAGCGATGCACGCGCGGGCAGGCCCTTTCCGAGCCTCCATACTTACTTCAAGGACCTGCTGCTCCACACCAAGGGGAGGGGAAGAAAAGGCGAGGGACCAGCAGGGAGCAGGTGGGAGCGGGAGAAAAGAAGAAATTGAGAGATTTTAGGAAAAGCTCTTCTGGACAGCTTATAAATAAATTAAAAAAAAAGTGATTGGGTAGTAGAGATGGACATCTTCTACCCATTTAGTTCCTGCCTATATGGTCCCCAGTGACCCACATCAGGGAAGGGAAGAGGAAGGAAGGAAGTATCATTCCAGAGCTAAAACAGGCAGGGGATCCCTGCTTTCCCATGTGCACGGCTGAGAGGCAGGAGAGGATTGCTGCTTTCTTTGCAAGCATGAGGAACAGAAAAAAACCCTTGCAGACCTTCCCACCATGCCCCAGAGTTTAGCCTGTAGTGGGCAGCAGCCCTGCAGTAGCACAGCCATGGTTTAGCTCCTGGAGGGTCCTTCTCATCTGTTCATTTTGCAGGCGTGCTTGTGGCTGGGGCAGCAAAGGAAGCTGGCCCGTGCCACCCCAGCCAGTCCTGCACTGCAGCAAATATTCTCACAAAGGAGGAGTCCTTTGCCCACAGCTACCATCCTTCTCTCTGTTTGCTCCAAGCAGCAGGTTTTGTTTACTCAGAGGGGTTTGTTATACAAGTTAAAACAACCGTGGTCCTCTTGTGAAGGAGTGAGGCCGAGCGCAGGTGACTCACCTCGGCCTGGAGGCTCTCAAGACGCACGATGTGTTGGCTGCTGGAGGAGTTCTTCTCCCGAAAGTCCTCCCGGAGGGTGTGGACCTGCAGGGAGAGCTGCCGCTCCACCTCCGATGCCTGCAAGGAGACACCAGCTGGTGTTACCCCAGGGGGTCATCCCATAGATGGAAAGCAGTTATCTCCTCCTGCCCATGGGAAGATCTGCCCTGATATGACTTCTGCACAAGCCCTAGTTTTGGCAGAAACTCTGAAGCCTGCACAGTTTGGGTGAGGGAAAAGCACATCCTGGACAGACGTTGAGGAGAGCAGCCATTTAGACCACGTTGATTTTTCCCTTGGGGCAGCCAAGGGGGACACGGCACATAACTTCCATTGCAAAATAGCATGATGGCTCCTGTGCCCTACAGGAAATTCAGTTTTCCTCAAAAACAGTAGCCTAGTTGGGGTTGAGGAGGAGATCAGGCCACTCACAAAGGTGAGGGGAGCCAATCTCCATAGCCCCCAAGAAACACTACTATTAGATTTATAGTTTGTAAACCTCTGAACATCTTTGGCACAGCTCTAAAATAACAAGTGCTCTTTGCCTCTGATTTCTGGCTTCCATCAGGGCCAGACGGAGAAGCATCCGCTCCACATTACTGTCAGTACAGGATCGCTGGGCTTGGCCCTCTTTACCATTTCGAAGGAGGGATGCCCCATTTTTCCAGGGTGGTTTGAGGACAGTGGAAAGGCCATTCCTACCTGCAGGATCCAGGCTTCAGACAGCCCATATAAATGACAGTTTAGACATGTTAACTACTCTCCAGACAGTTTTATGGCTGATTTTCACATGGTGAACGCACTTGTTTAGGCTTGTAAGAGAACATAAGGTGTTTATGACAAATCCTTAATGAGACAGCACAAATGGATGGTTTTCTATTTAATTAGCCTCCATCAGGTTCCATTACACTTAGGCACAGACCTCCCTCTCCGCAGATTAGCTGGAAGTGAATTGTTCCCCCTCAAGAGGCGGCATTGCCATCCTGCTCAGAGCACAGACAGAGTTGTATGTCCAACAGCAAATGCCATCAGCGACCACAATGCCTGAGGGAGGTGAGGTAGGAGGGAGGGATGGGGGCAAGAGGAGAAAACCCGCATTGGGGTCAGCAGCTGTGGGCAGGTTTGGGAGTGCATCCTTATGTCTGGCAAACGTGGGTCAGGATTTGACTCAGGCTGCTCTGGCTGTCAGGGAGCCCAAGGCAGCAGGTCCACCAAAGGGTGCAATGAGTTTGCTGTAGCAGCTTGTGACCTGAGGAATGAGCACAGCCTAAGGCTGCCCACAAAAGCAACACTACCCTCTTTTAAAAATGGTCCCTTATTTTGCACAGTCTGCAGCAAGATAATCCAAATCAAAAGCAAGAGGTAAAAGCCTGTTCCAGCTCCATCAAGTGGAGGAAACTGGTTGCCCCTAACACTGCTTTCTTGCAGGGGCAGCAGAAGACAGAAACGCAGCCAGCAAAATCAGCCAGGCTCTGACCATTAGCTTCTGGAATGAGAAATGGTTTCCAACAATAAGAAATAATCTTGTCTACTGATTGTTTTTTATTTCCCCTCTTATCCTGGATTAGCATAACTGGTCTTTTCCCCTTCTTTAAAGCCTCACATCAGAGGTCTTTGCGTATTGCCCTCACTGCACTTACTTAATAAATCTTTCTTGCACAAGCAGAGTACACAAAATATAGTGATAGCACAGCACTATAGGAAGAGGTTGGTTATTTTTCTTCCCTTAAGCAGCTATAGATTTCAAAGCATCCTGAGCAGCTATTAATTTGTGACATTAAAGAAGATGGACAGATTGTGCTTTTTTTAATGATTCACTTGCTTCTGTAAAGACTGCTGAAACATCTTCATGCTGAAATACTCCTCAGGAGCAATCAAGGATGAAAAAGTAGCAGATTAAAAGCACCGAAGGATTTTGCCTGCAAGATGCTGACCACATTCTCAAGGAGCACAAGTGGTACCGGATGAGATGACACACCAGTATTTGATGGTTAACTGTATAACATAATTTATATGCTAAGCAATTCTATGTACAGACAGTGTAAGTATACAATATAGCAGTAAGAAACAAAGGAGTGTTAATGGCATTGTAAAAATCCCTGGTAAGACAATATATAGCTGCTGTTGCTAGTTCTGGTCCCCATGCTCAGATTGGAGTAGGTGAAGGGATGGGCTGCAAGGGTGATCCAGATCGTGGAAAGCCTGTTATATGAAAGGAGACTAAGAAGGATGGCTTGTTTTATCTCATGCGATGAATGCTGAGAAAGGCCTCCCTATAAATACATCACGGATAAGCACACAGAAGGGAGAAGCACTATTTAAGCAGAAAAAATGGTGTGAATAAACTGGATAAGAGTATATTGAGGCTGGAAATAGGAACATTTCCACATTTCCAAGGAGCTGCAGTAGGAGTCTTCCTCCTGCACCATTACAGTAGGCGAAAAGGTGGCAAAAATTAATCTTGTGATGGAGCTGGATCACTTTATCATGCAGTTTCTTTCAGGGAGCTGCCTACGACAGAAGGGAAATGAATTGACCTCAAAGGTCCTTTCTGGTACTAGATTGCTTGCAGGACTGTAAGGTTTGTATTCATCAGGTTTAAATCATCATCTGGAATTTATCTATTTGCTGCTCAGCTTACACACTCACACATCTTATTCCCTCAGTTACAGCCCACATGGAGGGAAGAAAGGACTCACATTGTTAGCATTAAGGGGCCTAATGCAGACAGGATGTTAGCGTCACCCCAGCGTACACCATTCACATCCTATCTCATGCAGTAGAGAAAAATAAAAACAATACTTTCTTTAGCCTCATACCATGCAGAATACTCTCTCTGACCAGCCATTAACAGGGGTAAACAGAAGTGACTGTTTCATGTGCTTTCCTCCACAGGAGAATGAGGAAAAGTCTTCATCCAGTTCCTCTAAATAGGGAAATGGCTGATACCTTTAGTTTCACCTTTGCACAGATTTGTTTTTTCGTAGACATGAGACAGAGTATTCTGAGCTGAGCTCTGGTCATGGAAACCCCCTTTTCATGCTGCATTTGTTTCAGAGGCTATTAATACTGCTGCCAAACTACCCTTTCTAATTGATTATAAAGGCTAGATTTTAACATCGATTTGTATTATTTTATGGAAAGCCACCTCGACCGTGTCCAGTATTTGTCAGGCCTTATGGTGTATTTTCATATGGCATCTACTTGGGTTCTCCACACTGCTGTACATGTGTGCATGTGTATGTGTGTTTTAAACCATGAGCTCACTACTGATTACTTCTGACATCCTCTTATACTTCGTATCATCAGAAGAGGTAACCTTCTCTCTATATTTTCCCTTTATTGCTCAAATAAGCTATGGCTTTTGTTGAATTGAAGTGAGTTTCTTCTGCTTCAGCCAGTCTAGCTCGACTCTCATTATGCAAACTGCCGTGCTTTCTCCTCCCCATCAGTGTTTTCCTAAACATGAAAAGCTAAAACCTTTTGTGGTTATGTCAATCATTTAGCGATGCTTTGATTTGGCTAGAGAGAAGTAATGTTCTTTCTGGAAAGGCAGACATATATCGCCCAACATCATAGCTTTGCTCAGTAGTTAAGAAAGAATTAATTTCCTGGGTATAGGCAAATTAGCCAACACAGCCACCAGGCAGAGTTTGAAATATATCTGCAAAAACATAGACATCAATTCACAATTAGATATATTCAATCAACTGTGAGATTTGTTTTCTGGACTTCAGGCAAGGTTTAGATGAGATTTGGGCCATGCAAGAAGAAAGGAAGCGCAGGAGGACATTTTGGCCTCTGCTCTAATTAAGGGCTTTTTTTCATTGTAAACCTGTTAAGTTTCTCTGGTGATTAATTCTGAAGTGCTAAAATACACAAAACTGTGTAAATATTTGGCAGAAAAATACAGCTTATAAGTTACAATAACTCCGTGAGGTTTAACATCTGGAATATACGAGCAATAAATTAATTAAATAGATGTAAATAAATTGGACCACTGATGCTTCTGTGAAGAGGGGATCTTTGAAACGTTTGGGATGGACTGTGAGAAACAAATGGCTTGAAGCTTAGTCTCATTCAAAGAAAACCCTCTTTTGGGGGAAGATTTGCTAAATAAAACTAACTGCATACAAAATATCCAGTTATAAGTCATGTCAGAAAGAAGAGAAGAACGGAAAAAGTTTAATAGACGGTAACTGGGTGAAGAAACCAATGTTTCCATATGACTTACTTCTACAAACAAGATGATTCAAATTTAACAAAGGATATTGAAGATTTTCTTGCCTAAAATAACTAAGGAAGAGAAGTCCTAATTAGTGTTAAATTTGTAACACTCAGGAGAGTGTGTTACCCCTTTTATTAATTTGCTAATAGCTGAGTTCAAGGGACTCCCCATTCCT